CCGCTCTCTCTCTCTCTCTCTGCCTCGCGCTTGAATGGCTCTTTCTTTTTGTCTGTCGCTCAATTGGCCGGAGCCAGACCCAATTCAAAATTCACCGCATATGATTGACGTAGTCATAGTGTCCACAATATCCTATCGAATCCATTCCAAATGGAATAGAATCGAAACTGACAATGCACATACACACACACACACACGAGATTCAATTGATCTTGTATTGTGTGCTTGAGTGCGCGCGCGCATGTTCAAGCCAACGAGCAAGCGCATAACGAATATAACAGCACAGAGAATACCTGTAACCACTTGTTGTCGTTGTTATTTAATGGCTATGACTTTTTATGGATCAATCTCATAAATGGTTCAATTGTCACATTCCTGCGAGTCAGCTTCGAGTTTCGAGTAAACATAATCCGGAACAAGTGGATTTTTTTCTCTTAGAAATCAAATAAGAGCCTCATTCAGTGGCCAGCCGCGTAATATCGCCGCACCAATCTGGTGTTCAACACATATATGTTTCCAATGAGGGAAAAGATATATGAGTGGCGAAAAAATTCTGTGGTCAATTTGAAGTCCAAACCTCAAGCAATGTTAATCAAATGATTGATTATCAACATTATGGTTGCGTGTAACCGTATGAAAATGCGATTTACAATACGAAACAACAAGATCAAATTCAATGAAATTGTTCTGAAGACCAAATCAAAGTCTAGGGCAATCCAAACCAAGATCATGCATACATTTGTTGTTGTTTTTTTTTTGGTCGATGATGAAATCGATCGAAACATGAGAACGCGCGCACACGTGCGCTCTTCTGTGACATTCAACCGGAATCAATATAAACATATACATTTTCATCTCATTTCTCCAATTTGTTGTCGATCTACAAGTCACATGGAACCAGAAATCAACGATGTCATATATTCGATTCGGCCAAACGTAGCCAAATGGATTATGTTTAAGGCCAATTTAATAATTTAAAGTGTATCAAAGATTAATTTAACAAAGACACACTCTATTTTTTCGTTGTTATTATGGTGTGTTTCCATTCAAATATGTCTGTTTTGAATATGAATAACGGCAATGTCAACATTTGTGTCGATAATACACTGCATAAAATTTTGCTGAAATATCGGCGAAAACGAGAGAGTGGAGATTTCGTTTTACGTGACTTGAAAACAATGCAAAAAATTTATTCACATTTGAATTCAGCAATTATGAACCACACGATGCACTGCGTTTCCGTTAAAAAATTTACATTTGTCCGAGGTCAGTTGCGATCGATTCGCATAGAATTTGGATCGGTTGGTTGGTCGGTCGATCGATCGACCAATCGGTCGTTCATTTGTGCGATTCATTAGTTTTGCGGTTATGGATTAACAAAAATGATCCAATCTTATGTCAATTCCGTTATTTGTTTGATTTGCTTCTTTTGGTGGCTCTATTAGGATATTTCGCAATCAATTCTGCCCAACAAAAGGAAAATCACCGATTATGAAACAATTCAATCAAGCACGGATGCCTTTTTTCATTTTGTGCAAGTTTTTTTTTGTTGTATATTCAATCATCAGTCAATGGATCCCATTTAAATAATGCTTTCATGATATGGACAACTTAGAATAACATGTTTATTATGTTTCAACCATCCTGTTATCCGACTGATCCAATTTCAATGAAATGAAAGCGTGAGAGGGAGCGTGCTTTGCGTACGCAAGAGATCAAAGAAGAGAAAGAGATAGGTGCGCCGTTTCATTCAGTAGCTATTGCTGCTTTGCAGTAGCTGCTGATTAATCATTAAATATGTCTATCCATGTGCAATACCGACTAATCAGAAATTCAAACGTTTAATCATTTGCGGTTGAATCAAATGATATTCGCATTCAAATCAGCACTCAAAAAAAAATCATTTTACATTCCAACCGTCTCTCTTTCCATTTCGTTCGGTTGCTATGTCTTTCTGTTGGATCTTGATGCATTTGAAAATTTCGACGATTTCAGCAACCAAGAAAAAAAAGAGTAAGAAGCGAAAAAAAAACCGAGCAATCTCAAAACAATTTTAATTATTCATAACTACGTGATCACGAAATGACTTATTGCACGCCTCTTTGTGTCTACAAATAATTATACAGCAACAAATGACTACCTTTTTTTATCCTCGTATGCATATATTGAATCTGTATCAATCGCGCGCGTTCAGTTTCATTTTCATTTCCTAACAATAGAACAAAGTATCTGTCTCGATGTATCGAATGCAAGTAATGTGATTTAATCGAAATACAAACTGATCAAACTAGAATCACATTTGCATTATTAAAAGCGAATGTGCAAATAAAATGAGCATGTTGCAAACAATGAACAAAAACTAGGACTACTGTGTTTTTCTTTCTACTGTGGCTGCTGTCGCTGATGCTGATGCTGTTGCGACTACTGTTGTTTGGTGCTGATAAAAAAGCACACTGTGCCTGGGTCCATAGAGCAATGTCGCCAAACACACAATTATATCGGGCAGATCGAGAGTGTGTGTGAGAGAGAGAGAGAGAGAGAGAGAAAAGGAAATATAAAATGGCGTCATTGCTACATTATTTAAATATGTAAAATTGTGCACTTAAAAAATGTACGGATCAATTATGTGAGAAATCAGGCAATTTACACGACACAAAAATATTTTATATGTCAATTTGCGAAAATGAGAAGGGCGAACAAAGCATTCAACAGCGGAGAGAAAAAAAAAGAAGTAATGATTGAAAAAAAAGTGATCGCCAACCATAAAAACCAAGAGGAAAATAAAAACAATCCGCAAAAGTATGATCAGTAACGGGACACACAATCGAATCACACAACATTTAACATTCAATCAATATGGGCCAGATCCAATCAAGAACTCACACACAACGACGAAGGAGACAGAAAAACCACAATCAATAAAGTGATAAAAGAAATTTTAATCAATTTAACACAATATCTGTTATAGTAATGCTGTTTGTAATCATGCGATTTCGGTTGGTCGTCGGCTGCATGGCTGGTCTCTCGACAACACGGCAATGATGAAGAAAAAAAAGCCCAACAGAACAATGCCTGTGAACAGCATGTGAGACTATGAGACTATGATTATTGTTGATATTGTTTTTTTTTTCTTCGTTGTTTTATTGGGCTCAAGTATGTGAATGAGATTTTCGTCTGTCGCTGTACTAGCACACAACGAAACCCCTCCGAACACCAAATAAAACCATAGAATTTATTATATCTCATTTATTCAATCTACTACTAAATCGACCATAAAAGGTGTTTTAATTGCTTATTTAGTCATTTTAATAAATTCAATTTGCTTTGTTTTGCTACGCCCAGCGACGTGGCGTATCTTATGGTTTTTTTTATTGCAACTCCTATTTGGAGTACGTTACTTTTAATTTTAATTTCATTTAATTTTTCTTTTATGCCGTACACGTAATATCATGTGCATACGTCGTTGTTGACGATAACGACGTCGCTGCCGTCGTCGTTGACGTCGGTTTGTTTTTCATTCAAGAATGTATGTAATATTTTGCATTCATCGCGGTTGAATATCGATGATATTTGAGAAATAAATAGAAATAAATTAGCTGGTTTAATAAATTACGTGTATGTTTTTTTCTGCTGCTACTTGCATTGATCCATCCATTCATTCATTTGTTGATTTGGCATATGTATCTCATTTTTTTGCCACTAAAATGCTTTCCTGTTGACATCACAAAAGTGGTGCTCTTACGAATGGTCATCGAAGTCTCAATGAAATGAATTTAAATGTATTTGTATGTATGCTTCTTGTTAGTTGTTGTTAAACTCTTTTTTTTATTTCGTTTTTAATAATTATTATTGTTGCGATTCTCTTTTTTTCCTTGTCTCTTTTTTTTTAACTTCGGTTATCAATGGTTAGCTACAGCTCTTTTGCTGTATCATGGTTTCAAAGCAACAAATTGTATTATGTTGCGAATATGATTCGGCTTCGTTGTTGCCGCTACTATCTCGTCATCGTTGCGGTTGTCGTTGTGTGAATGGCTTGTTTGATCAAAACATGAGCTGCTTCTGTTTCGCTTATGATTACTTTTTTTTTCTTTCTTCTTTCGGGTATGATCGAAACTAATACATAAATGAGCATGAGCCGCAAGTTGGCACTACTTTTTTTTATCATTATTCTCTCTCAATTGAATACGGTTTGCTTTGTGTGAAATTCGAGTAGCAGTGAATTTTGTTTTCCGTCGCTAACTGGATGAATATGATGACGTTATGTGCGTTGTCGTCCGCGTTGTTGTTGAGCTTTTTCTTCGGTGCTGAATGTAAAGAGCTTGGCGAGGTTGTGTTCGTGAGAGCTTGTGGTGTTGTGCACCGTTTTCCGTAAACGCCACATATCGCCTTCGTTGTCGACGTCGTTGTCGTTGTTTCTGAATGTATTGATTGTTTGCTCCGCTAGTAGAGTAGAGTACACATGTTTGTTGTTTTGGTTTTCATGCTTGCTTACTTTGCTTGCTTATGAGATTTGGCTTTTCGAACTCTCTCAGTCGCTCCGCTCATTTTCATTGTGATTTCATACAGTATACATACACATATTGCCTCACACAACTCCACTTTAAATGACCATAAGACGGAAAAAGATAGCCGGAGCGAGAGGCCGCCGAGAGAGAGATATGTGTGCACCGTACTGTTACTGAATGAATATTACACACAATCGGCATCTATACACATTCCAACACATTACATGAGTTTTTACAGTTTGATGGATTTTTCTTTTTCTTTTTTTTTCTTGTTTTCGTTTGTCTCTCTTTTTCGTATGTTTGTATGGCAACGGTATGGGTTTTTGTTTACTCATATGCAGCTGCTAATGGTGGTGTTATTGTTGTTGGTATTCTCGCTACATGCGGCAAAAGGAAATTGGAGATCGCTTTTTTTTTTAATGCTGTGAGCGAGCGTTGTGCTGTTGCCGTCGCCACCGCTGCCGCCGTCCTCGTCGTCACTCAATCGGGCAAAATTTTGTGTATAAAAGCGTGGAAATTTCAGTGAATTGTATCAGTCACATTCTGTACTCCAAACAGTACTACAAACAGTTCAACACAGATCATCTTAACCGAGATACAAAAAATTTAAACTAATCAAAATGTTCAAGTTGGTAGGTGATCCAAATTGAATTGTTTTTTTTTTTGTTTTCTATTGAAACATTTTTTTTTCTGTTGCTTTGGCTTCCCATTGTGATAGTTTAAACGAACATAAATAGTTTTTAGTGCATTTTAAATTTGTTTTGAATCGAATAAAAAAAAAAGAGAAAAAAAACAGACATTCGAAACTGAAAATTTGTTGTCGAGAAATTACAATTGGGATAAACAACAAATTAGAAAACGAAAAAATATTCATTTTTTGAACTCATGTTTTGAAGAGAGTTTTTTTTTCTCTGAAAGTTTCATTTCAAAAAGTTTGACCTAACCTTTGTTTTTTGTTTTGTTTGTTCTTTTTAAAGTTGGTGTTGTCTGTTCTCGTTGCCGTTGCCGCTGCTGCTCCAAGTGGATACCATGGATACGCTGCCGCTCTTCCATTGGCCTATGACTATACTCCAGATTACCATGTGTCGAAGATTGTGGAACACATTCCAACCGCTGTGAGCCATCAAAGCCGTGTTGACTACCACTCAAAACCAGTCATCACCCCAATTTATGCTCCAGTAACCAAGGTTATTCCACAACCAGCCTACGCTGTGCACAGCCCAGCCGTCGTCGCTCCAGTCGTCCACAGTGCTCCACTTGTCCACAGCTCACCATACTATGGTGCTTCATTTTACGATGCCCATGCTCACGCATGGTAATCAGCTATCCACCACCTCAAAACTGATCCAGCAGTCAATTGTTCCAAATTCTTCAAGCAATTCCTTTCGTTTTTCTAATTATTACCACACACAAAACAACAAGCCAATTTTTACCATAGCCTAAATTCGTCCACCGAAAACGGAAAATCGAGCTAAAAAGAAAAAAAAACAAATTCACATCATCCACATCTTCACTAATTGACTGAGAGAAGAAGAGATTTTCCGCACTCATAAAAAAACAATATTACCATACTTTGATTACCGAAACTTATTTATACACAGCAAACGGCAACTGCATTATCTATTGTTCTTAAGTTGAAAGATTAGATAGTGTGCATTGGATGAAAATAATTTAATAAATTGATTTTTTTTAACAAAAATTAAAACAAATCATTCTTTTTATTCAAAGCCTTCTTCTTTTCCAACAGTATAAACATTTTATTTCAGCAACAATTTTGAGTTCAACAGTTGAATCACAAGAAGATAGCTGCGGTCCAGAAGATATGCTTCAACTAGTTTCGTGATTTGAAGTTGATTGAATGAAGACAGAAACAGCAAGAGAAAAAGAAAGGGAAAGAAAGAGAGAAAATAAGCCAATCGAATTAGTGCTTGTTTTTCTTTCCTGTACCAATGGAACGTAAAAGAAGCCATGAAATTAACCGTATAACAAAATGTTATTGATAAACGACCATGTTCAAGTGCATGAAAAGTGTTGTGTTTGTCTTACTGCTACGGTGTTGCCACGACGCTGGGGTCGATTAAATCGGTGCGAAAACCGATTTTTAACGCAAATTTCAATTTAATCGCTTCAGTTTTTTGTTGTCGTTCTTTTTTCTTCATTCTCTTTGCTACTTTTGGCCAGAAAAATCTTGCTCCGACTTCGCACAGACATCTAATGGCATACAATGTCTGTCCTCCAGAGGCGAACAAAAACATTGAACACGGTGCATGCTCTCTTCGTGTAGAATAAAATCAACATTTTCTTTGCTACATCTCTGTAATGAGCAAGCAGCGTGTTTTAGTTTCAGCACACTTACTCTACTGTTTCTCTGTTTTTTTTCCGGCTGATTGGAATTGGAAACGGATTAAGTTGTTTTACTTTGAACTTGTGCGTTTGAACGCAACGCTGCTACCATTACAAATCGATTGAAATTCATTAACACATGCTGTGCGTGTTTATTATAATGTTGTACACACTTCAAAACATAAAATCCATCTAATCGTTTGCTCGTAATTCGGATTAAACAACGTGAATCAAAAAGCCCATTGAGATTGTGCATATTCATTTAATTTAATTTCGATATGTATTGCATTGAACACAGAGGTTTTTGATATAATAACCGTTAGATCTGCCCCAGAAGATTATTCTTGAAAATTCCGATTTTGGAACGATTGAACGGTGTACATGTGATTTGATCCATACAATAATAACATGAGTATCTGCTTGGTGAATTTCATTCAATAGGAAATGAAAAAAAATTTCATTCTTTTATCATACAAATTTTATTTTGGCCAGCTATTCAATCTGGAGATTTAAAAACTAATTTAAGCTAATTTGGACAACGAAAATGTTCAAGGCATTTTTTTCATAATTTTGTTTCTTTTTTTTCATTATGGGACAAGGTTTATTACACGGCGCCTGGGTTAATATTGCTCAGAGCTGGCCACTTTTGCAGAGTGATTAGAGTTGTTGATTATTTTTTTTATTTTTATTTGTGTGTGTGTGTTGTTATTTTCATTTTTTTTCTTCTCTTTTTGAATTTGCGACTCCTACTCCATTACGCATCGAGTGCGAAATACGAATGCGATGGCGAATGTGATATTGATATTGAATTGAAGCCGCAGCGTAGTAGCAGCAATGGCTGATGGAAATAAAATTTCCATTTATCCGAAAATAATTTCATTTGTATTCGTCGTGGCAGTCAAAATCCGATGAGTTACGCGCACGCTAGCTTTCTCAACCAACAACAACCGACCATATATATTATTAAAAAGTATCAAGCTTAGCGAATGTCGCAACATTGCCCAAATTACCCGACAAGTACAAAAACAAGAGTTGTTTGTTTGTTTTGTCGGCACGTCTTGTTGTTAACAAGATGTGATGGTGTGAGGTATGCGCAGTGTGTCACTTGATTTTTGTCACAGCTCGATTCATTTGAAAATGCTGAGGACAATGCTGCGGCAAATGATCTGTGTCCGAATTCCATGCCGAAGCGCATTCAAATGGGGTACAGCAGAGAGCAGAGAGAGAGAGAGAGAGAGAGAGAGAGAGAGAGAGAAACAACACGAATCTCGTGTTTGAGATGTTATTTTGATTGGCATTGTTTGATCTGCCACTTGTAACGGGGCCCCAAACGTTGAAATTAGTTCTGATGGCTGTGAAGAATGATGGATCGAATTGGCAAGTGGCTGATGGACAAATCTCGGTTTCGATTGAGCAATTCAATCATCATCCATTAGAATTGAACGGTTCATCGAAGAACGTAGAATCGGAGGACTGGATCATGCGAGAGTGCCATGAACGCAGTGTGCTGCGTTGAGTTATGTTGCCCAAGTAATTTTTTTTTCGGCATCGAAAAGCGTCTATTTCAAATCACTGTAATTATTGTCGTATATTTATTTTATACCGTTTGCTGATTTATTTCTCAATTCATTCATTTCGATTCTCCAATTATTTTCATATTACTGAAATCCAAGCGATATTGCTCAAAAAAAGCGAGCGAATGAAACAGCCACAACACACAAAAGATATACTGCCATAAATCCACATTAAAAATGACTTCTCAGAACAAGTCAATCTCTCTCTCTCTCTCTCTCTCTCTCTCTCTCTCTCTCTTTCGCTTATTTCAATGCATTTCATTTGGGCTTATGATGCCGATTCCTATCGCAAGCTAAATGAAATAATCATCGCACCCGAAACTCGTGCCCGCTCTTTTCTGCTTCTTTCCGTCTGGTACACGATCGAAAGCTCGTTAGGTCGAAAAGAGAGTTGTTCCTTGCACCGTCAAAACACACACTTTGCGAATGAGAAACAGAGATTTGAGCTTCCACGCCCCGTCTGCGCACACACCATACATCACAAATCAGTTTAGTAGACTAAATGCACAGAAGTAAATCAAATATTATGTTTGTTGTTGTTGTTGTTGTTTTTTTTTTTTTTGGTTGATCTCACGTAAAATTGGCTATGGAAACCGTTAGGTAATGAAGAAACAAATAGTAGAGAAGGAAAAAAAACACATCACTTCGGCAGTAATAATGGGTTGCAGTGAAGTGGTCAAGGTAGCAGCCGTACTGCACACAACGGGCACGATGAAGTAGTTTGTAATATCAACAAATAGCAATTGTTGTTGTCAGTGAGCCGAGCGTACCACACAGCCAAAGCCGCACCGTTTCTTCTATGGAAATGATTGAGAAATTTAGAGTCAGAGTGTACAAAGTGCACAGACAAACCAAACGAAACAATGATCCATTGCATCTGATCACCGTTTATGCTCTCGATGGCTATGTATGTGTGTGTTTCTGTGTGCTGAAAATTTGTTTCGCTGACATATTTTTTGTTTGTTCGAAGGTGCATAACGATTGTCCCCATGCACGCGCGCACTCCTCGAACAAAACTGCGAACGAAACCGCATGCAGCAGCAGCAGCAACAACAACAGAAGCCAAGTACATGAGTCTTGGTACACGATAGAGTAGTCTTAGTCATCAGCGCGCGACAATCAATTTCATTTAATGAGAACGTTTTTGTTCCTCCACCACATACGCTGCTGATGCTGCTGCTGCTGCTGCTGCTGCTGCTGCTGCTGCTGCTGCATTGCACAATCTCAGCGGCGACAATCGCTCGTGATCCATGGGAAATGAACCAAACCATTGCTAACAACCAACGATGAACATAAACTGTATGAAGAAACCAAGAAAAAAAAATATAAACAAGCTCTGAATGTTTTTTTTTAGAATAATTTTTTTTATTCTGCTTTTTCCGGTAAAAATTTTTTACAATAGATTTTTTTTCACATTCGAAATAGATGGTGTTCGGTGGTTTGTTTCCAAAATGATCGTTTGTGATGATGGTCTCACAATGGTCAATTTTGATGAGTTTGTTTTTTGTTCTGTTTTGTTTTGCATACAATTAAAAACAAAACAAAAAAGAAAATAAAATAATAATTAAAAAAGAGAGCAAATGAAAATTCAATCAAAAGAATCGAACGATCGTTTGAATCGAATGTGCAAAATGTTCGAATTGTTGCGAGCAATTCGATTTTGACTGCGTCTGAATGGCTTTTTGATGGTATGGTTGGCTCATCTCAGTGTTGAAGCTGTTGACATGTTTACCACAATGAGTGTGGAGCGTAGGCACCGTATGAGCTGTAGGCATGGGGAGCTGAGTATGCCAAAGGTGAGGCATATGAGCTATAGGAGGCATAGCTTGGGGCAGCATAGCTCTTGTAGTATGGGGCGGCAACAACTGGAGCAGCATGAACGACTGGAGCAGCATGAACGACTGGAGCGGCAACAATGGTCTTGTGTACTGGGGTAATAACTGGGGTGACAACGGCACCGGTGCTGTGGACTACTGATGATGAGTGAGCTGAGACACCAGTTGGCACGCTTGAGACGACTGAACCAACATGTTCAGCTGCGTAAGCAAAAGGAAAATTGTCGAGAAATAAATTTCAGCCATTAGAATCGATTCGAAAGTATGGAGGAAAGCTTTTTTTGGGTACATGTTTGTTTTGGTTTGGTTTGGTTTGGTTTAGAATGTATTCTTACGTGTTGAGTAGACAAGTGGTGCTGGTTGAACAATCTTGGTAACAGCTGGGCTGATGACGGCGGTGGCTGGAGCGTGCAAGTAGCTTGGTTTGGCAGCGGCCAAAGCGAAAAGAGCAGACAAGACAATCTAAAGAGAAGAACAAAAAAAATGATCAAAACTCACTAATTGAAATTGTGTACACCGAGAAAACGAAAAAAACAAACAAACTGAAGAACCGTTGAAATTTTTGAACGTATACAATTTTTTTTTTTAAAAATGCAAACTAAATGAAACACTATATTTTCGGCTCGTAAACATCGTAATCGATTTGGATTTGTGTGAGCACGAGCTGTAATAGTGAATTTGCAAAATGAAAATGCATGTCAACCAAGAAAAAAAAGCCACATACCAATTTGAACATTTTGAAAGGTTTAGGTAAATTTTTTTTTTGTAATTTAGCTGAATGCTACGACTGTATTAATCGAACTCAAACAGTTAACTGATACAGTTTGGTATTTTGCGACGCCTTTTATACACTGGATCATCTAACCATTTCCAATTTTTCCTTCACGATCCGAGTGAGAGCAACAATGATCGGTAGCATGCACAAGAGCACCGTACAACAACACAGCACTATGAAGTGGGCTTCATGCGCACAGACACACATTCACAAAAACATATGCTGAGAGAAAGAGAGAGTGAGTGGCTTTACGGATTGTGCCGTAGCGCATTCGAATGGTGTAGCTGTAAAATATGCTTCGCACTCGAGTAATTTTCTATAGGCAATCGAAATGCCATACAGTAGTAGTAGCAGCCACAGCAGCAGTAGCGTGTGCGCGCTCACTACATATGCCATCACAAAATATGATCGAGAGAGAGCGCGCGCGCCCGCGCCACAATCGAACCGAATCGTCGACACACATGCCGACCGCTATTAAGAGAGACGGTCGGTTATTGTTCATTCATCACACACATCAAGCTCAAATGGAAAAACTTGATTCAATACACACATGTATCGGGCGCGAGAGTATAGCGCGGAGGCGCATTTTGTGTGCGCGCGCGCACTATATGTGTGAATGCGAAACTGAAAAATCTACATATTTTATGCAAACGGCACATGCAATGTGTGTGTTGTTGTTTTTTTTTTCTTTTCTTCACAATCGATGTGACCATGAATTTTCTCTCATCCATATATCTTCGCATACGCACATACGCTCTCTATAACGTAATAACATACTCACGATGTATATCGTACACATCGATCGTTTTCCATTTTCATTGCGAACTCACACACAACACACACGTTGAGTGTTTGTGGTTGTACCACGTGCGATTTAATTTGTTGACGCTTTTTATTGTTCACATTCCATTGTCTCGACTCAATTGTTTTGCGATCGATCGATCAAACTAACCAACCGACCAACCAATATGTACACCAATATGAACACCATCCGTTGACATTTCCTCAAACAATATCAATTTTGTAATGACCAAACGTAATGAAATGAAATATTAAGAGCTACAGCAATAACAATACGAGGGAGAGAGAGAAAGAAAGAAGACGAAAATTGTTTCAACAGGATCACGTGACCGCTGATAAATGGATTTAATGCAAAACTAAAAACATGTTTTGGATGCTGTCATCGGTTTTACGCGCGATTATTCCACGCATACTTCCCGCAAAATTTATGATAATGGTGGCAACAGTAAAGACACATTTATCGTTTACTCGTTCCCAAATGAAATTGAAGGAAATGCATTCAATCATACATTAACACATATGGATCGATTGGTGGTGAATGACTGCTGCTACCACCGCTGCTGCTGCTGCTGCTGCTGCTGCTGTGGCTTCGGCGCATTTTGTTTATGCTCGAAACGTTCTATGAACCAGGATCTCGAATATACCAACTATAGGGACCAATTATACCTGAGAATAGTAATAAAAAAGCCGATTTAATTGCAATGGCTGAGTGGCGAGTCGATAAACACATCAAATTGAAATATCCAGACGATATCATTTGTATGCAAATTTAATGACTTTGATTCAATTAATGAATTACCAACGCTAATGCGCACAAACACATCATTTAGACCATTTGACATAAAATACAAGCGGCTACCTCAGGCTACCTCGATAATATCTCGGATACATTGCATATATCTGTTGAAATACACATCGCAATCCATCGGAATATCGCAGAATGGCTATCAAAACAAAACTACTTTCTATATATTCAACGGTTATCTAGTCATTGTATTTAAATATATAGTTCATTCTGTGAGATGTCGGCCGTTAATTCTATACTTCTCCAAACGAGTTTTTGTGTTTTCGCATAAAACAAATGTGAGTTTTTATTTATTCTGCACAATTTGGAGTGTTTTTTGCTGTCATTCCTTGCGTTGTGTGTGTATGTGATTCAGGACGATGTGACCGATCTGAAAATGAGTCATTTAGTTCCTGTTTCGTGGTGTCAGTACGTACGGGTATCGATGCTATTTCGTCATACTATTTTTTTCCTTCTTCTTCTTCTTCTTCTCCATTTATACATTCCGAATCATGGTCCATGAATTAATATTTATCGTTTTTCACCTGTGCAATTGAAATGGCAATTATTTGTGTTTCAATTGAAATTGCGCGCGTCGTTGTCGTCATAATCACCATCATCATCATCGATAGCATAACGAGAGTGTGTGGCACTCAAAAGTCATTCGATCTTTGGCCGCACTCAGTGTATCGTTGGATAATATCTCTCTTTTGTATGTTGTTACGTTGCAAACAAACAAAAAATGAAAAATTGAAATAAAGAATGAAAGAAAGAAAAAAAAAAGAGTTAACGAACGAACGAAAGAAAGAAACAATAACAAAACAGCCCAGCTGAATTGACTTGGACTTTCGTTCATTTTTGGCTTATGATTTTTCTTTGTTTAATTTTTTTCTTTCTGCCCAAGAGCTGTTGCTGCTATTTATTTAATCGTATTTCTTTTCAAGAATGAAGCCAAAGGAATGCTGTGTGAATTATTTAACGGTTGGTTCGATACCACTTAATACACCTCACATTAATCTTAAGTTCCTGGTTGACTTTTTTTTTTCTCTCTCCCAATATATATCGCTCACTTATATACATTCGATTTTTTTTTCTTCTTTCTTTCTACTTCTTTTGTGTTAAGAGGTCTTTTTGTAGGTGCAAAATGGCAATTTTTTTTCTATTTTATTTTTCTTTATTGCTCATAGTCGAACAGTCAGAATTTGTACTTTCGCCGGCGAATTAATATTGTTAGTTGGTGGCTTGGAAACAACGGACGAAAAGAACGATTTTTTTTTCTCTTGCACATGTTCGATAGACAATAACTTACCTTTCATTCTGCCCATTTCAGTTTCCCTCAGGTCGGCTCTCTTTCTCTGTTGTTGGTACGTATGCGCTTGGAATTTATGGTAAGTGTCCGTCATCGCCACCACCTTTGCCGCCGGTTCGGTCGTAATTGTGTTGTGTGTGCATTTTGGATGAATTGGAGTACATTAGATGAAAAAATTAAGACAAAAATCCTCAAGTTTCGCTCGAGCGGAATGCACAAGCACAATCGTTTGGCAAAAGTGTTTGTGTACACGGTCGCTGTGGATTACATCAAAATATCTCGAGAAAGAAAATGAATGAAATGGCAGAGCCATTTCAAATGGAAATGTGGCGAATGTGTGTATGCTTACCAGCACAACACGTTGTCCAACCAGCGAAAAGTGATACGACAACCAGAGAAATGTTGTGTCTGTTCGTTAGTAGTGCGACTGCTGCTGCGGCTGTTGCTCGATTCCGATACGAATCGGTCGAAAGTCAAAGAAGACGAAGAGAACCAATATGTGTGCATAGTGCATTTGACTTGCATTCATTCGCAAAGCATTTAACATTACGTAATCATCTTTCTGTTTTGTTGTGTGATTTTTCTTTCTTTCTTGCTGCCGCTTCTACAGCATTTGTTTTTCTCTCGTTCTCGTCATCGGGCTCGTGCGCATTGCTTTTTCAGACAATCAAATCTCTGGCCATCTCATAATAGAAAACATTTTCTATGATCACTCGCCCATAACACAAACACCGGCTGCTGTTTTGTCAGATCCACAGAGATAGAGAATCTGCAATGCCGGTTTAATTCAATTAGTGGCAGAGTGTGAAAGACCCGTTTCAATATAAGAGACGGCCGCATCAACGATGAAAAGCTTCAAAAGCAGCAGCAGCAGCAGAAGAAAAAACAACTCTAGATTGAATTATTTAATAAGAAGAAAGAAGCAAGAAGAAAAAAAAACACTTTAGTAGAAAAAAAATAAAATTATGATCTTTTGAGTGTTTAAGACGTTGGAATTTCAATAAAAAATTTTAATCTATTTGCATGTGATTAAACAGTAAGCACGAAGTACATGCTGCGCTGTGGCATCGACAATGAAGTAAACAAAAACAAAGTCAAATTCAATTGAGTTTTGGTCGCGGGTGTAACACCAAAGGAGAATAGAGCACGGTTGTAGTTTTATTTTCTTCTATGCAGCAGCATACCATAGGCACATGTATCATATTTCAAAATCTTAGATAATAATCGATACACACTTTTTTTTATAGCACCGCTATTCGATGTTAATAGACGCGAAAAAGAAAACCAATCGCCTCTTTTTGAATTGTAATGTAATCAACAGGTCGATTTTTATATAGCCGAAGTCATTTGAAGAGAATGGACATTCGTTTGTCGCCATCCAAAGTATTAAATTATTGAGCTGAGGAATATTTCAATTTTGAATTGTCATCTGAAGTGTGTTCGCCATCAAGCTGCGTCTTTCTCTTAGCAACGGGATTTGTTCATTGTTTGGCCGCAGATGATGTGGGAGAGACGGAACAAAGCTCAGTATGCGTGCGTGCAAATAGCAATTGTCACAAGAGCAACGAGTTTCCAAAATTTACAATCGTCTGACTGAAATGGATCAGATCCGAAAGAACACATTATTCGGTCGGCAACGACGACGACGACGACGACAACGACAACGACAACGTTGCCCACACGACAAATGACAGACAGACAAAAGCCTTGTTATTTTTTTCCGGGCAGCAACGAAACAAGGCGATTTGAAAAAGAACACGGCTGCCAAATAAGCACTTTGCTCTGTGTCGATCAAACATTTGGAAATGTTGACTAACACCACGGTGTCCATGCTACAAGCAACAGAGGCAGCAAGACAAAAGCGCACCAAACGAGGGAAAAATAACAACAGAACCATTGTGAAAACCCAGGGGTACTACCAGCCGAACAACAACGAGACAACTTGTACTAGATATTCAAACGGATATGGGCTGAGTGTAACATATACCCGATTTGATTTACATTTTAATGCGATGTAAATATAAATATAGATATTGAAAATGAAAATGAAAGAGATTTAGAAAGAAAGAAAAAGACAAGAAACACACACACACACAATGCCTGAAACCACTTACTTGACACAGAGTTCGAATTTTTCGGTATGCGATTTACAAATTAAATCTAATGCGAAATGAAGCGAAGATAACGTGGTCGCTACCAACCAAAATAGCCGGCCCATTAACAATATATCGCTGTGCAGCGGCATAGACGCTAGCAAAAAAGAGAAGAAAACAGAAAAAAAACGAAATTTCGAAAATAGATGGAATAAAAATGCACAGAGAGACAAAAACTTTTGCATAACAATGTGCATGGTTTATTTTTCTTAGTTCCGTAATATATGATAGAGCCAAGTAATCTTTATGACCACGTCGGTCGCGTTGCACTCACTCGCTTTAATCGAAGCACACGAAATGCCGATTATGAGCATTGCAATGGGAATATTGAATTCATGTGAAAATATTGTTCTACATGCTTATGGGTTTTTGTGAGTGTGTGTGTGTGTGCTTGTTCGTTTTTTTTCTTCTTAATTTTCGTCCACGTTTTTCGAAACACAGTGGCTTGCGACATTCGTTTGCATCCGTTAATTGAGCATTTTGGTTTGTTGTAGTACGTGGCGGCCGTCGTTGTGTCTATTTCCAAATAATGTCGCTTTTTCACGGAAAAATTGCATTCTTTTTCGAATTGTACTGCTTTCGGTTAATGTCACGTTGTAAAACAGAAGGGAAAAAAACAACAAATACGAACAGAAACACACTGCGAATGACATAATAAGTCACAATGACTTTGGTGAATCTTATTTGACGGTTGAGAATGCTCGTGGCAAACGAGAATGTGGAACATTTCGGACGTCATCGATTCGATGATAATAGTAACGTTAGAAACGTATTCACCCCAATAAATGAGTCGAAAAATTCTTGGCATTCGAACGAATCATACGAGTCTACGATTTACAATCAAGTTCATATTAATTGATATATTATGCCAGATTTGCGGCGGTTCTATGACGCTTTTTCCAGAGAAAATCAGAATTGACATTTTCTTTTTTTTTGACACACGACGTGTGTCGGTATATTGAAAGGCATCAAAACACGTGTTGTAAGCCGACCAAAGGCGCTTCCGAACATTTATCACTTCATGACGCGCTCGAAACAATACAAACGGAAATTATAAATAAATACATCAGATAACGTTGCTGCTTAGCTAAATGGCAATCTAGACTCATTTGAGAAGTAGGTTGTGTATGGGATTCATAGAGGCGCCATCTGTTACCTTGAATTTGAACTCTTGTGTATTCCATTGACTTCAATGATATATTTGGGAAAGATAGTGGCGCCACGCTGTATTCTCATGCTTTATTCGTAAAGTTTTAGAAGAAAGTTCATACGCTGACATCAATGTATTTACATTGGCTATATGGTACCATTGCTAAATGGTGTAGATTTGATTATTTTTGAATGCATCACCATCTATTGTAACTCATTAACATAAACATCAAACTAACACCCAATTGCTGATTTCGATGTCAGATATCTCAAGAGTTATGGTCAAATAAAACAAAATATTTTAATATGCAGATATAATCGTGGACGGTCTTTATTTTTTCTACACTTGTCGCGCTCGTTTTGCTACAGATCTGAACCGCAACATTTCTGTGAATTAAATTAAAGTTTGTCGTTGATTTTTTTCTCTCTTGTATAATTTACCAATGAAATTCATCTATAATATATATAATTCGAATTCGTCTGTTAAACATGACTGAGCAATGCTCATCAGAATGTAAAGTGTATGTTTTGACACGATCTCACGACATTGTATGATTTAAGTCTACTAATTAAAAGCGTAAAGCGCTTTTATCTGTGTTCAACCTTTTGCCCATTCAAATCAACCTATTTCCATAACTTCAATAATTTTGCGGAATAGAAAATATCATTAAATACCATATTATTTCAATTCGATCGCAGGCCTAGGATTATATTGTGACTTTTTCTGTATGTTTCGATTGGGTGTGCATGAAGGTGAGTTAACGAACTTGCAGGAAAAACCTAAGCAACAGAAGTTAAACGATGTCCAAATCAGAAGGCAAATTTTTGTATAATTAGCCATTTTTGTCCATTTAATATCCGCTATTGAATAAGCCCTTAATTAGATTATTAAAACGCGATAAAATTTGTATCAGAAAAAAATTTATCATACAAATCGATTCCCACACAATAAAGAAATGTTCGTGTCTTATTTATCAAATATATGAAATCAAATAAGGCAGCGGCATTTAAAGAACAGAAGTCTGTTGTCCATTACCGAAAAGTGAAATATGATTACAATATTTCAAAACTATTGGTGCATTCAATCATATTGCAGATGCTTCTGATTTTTTTTCTCAAGTTTTGTATCTTCCACGCATTTTCCATGTCTTGATACATGTATTATGATTTACATACTATGGAAGATGTGCATAAGGTTTCTGTCAAGATTTATTATAGATATCATGCATATATAGCGATATAAATTGTCTGTTGTAATTCGATACCAATCATGAATATTGATGCTTCAGTTGATCATCCGAAGTTTTGTTTCTGTTTCTTTGTGATCTTTAATTATGGATTTCAAACACACAATCATCAGTGGTACCCATTCTAAAGTTATTAAATCAAATTCGATTGATAGTAAGAGACTTTTGTTTTCAATGTTTTTACTTATATTTTTTGATGTATAACCATTTGATCCACATCAAAAGAATGCGGTGTTCAAAATAAAAATCTGCGGCGATTAGTTCGAAAACTCAGTCAGATTTGAAATGATAAAGCTTTAGTCTGCATCAGAGAGTGGATGTTTCTACCATGAGTTGTAGGCCAATGGAGTGGCGGCGTAGCTGGCGATAGCTGGGGCACGGTATGAGTATGTGCTAGCGTACGAGATTGGAGGAGCGACAACAGTTCTCAAGACTGTAAGAAAAATAAAGTACAATTAGAATCAGTCGGAACCGGGAGACATACTCTTTGATTGCCTAAGGCAGTAAGTTACCTGGAGCAGCAGCGTATGAGACAGCTGGAGCGGCATAGGACACAGCTGGTGCGGCGACAATGGTTTTCAAGACTAAAATAAGAATAAAACTCAATTAAAATCACTCTAAACACGCACGAATATTCTTTAATCGTTGGAGTGGAAGCTAACCTGGGGCGGTGGTGTAAGCAACGGTGGCTGGGGCAGCGTATGAGACGGCTGGAACCGAAGCGATCAATGGAGCGCTAGCAAGAAGACCTGGTTTGGCAGCGACCACGGCGAAGATAGCGAACAAAGCAACCTAATCCAAAGAAAAGTTTTAGTCAAATTCTCCATAGAAATTGCGCACACTCGAAAAACGATCACACTGTACAATCTCAATATTTCGAACTATTTGCAAAGTAACTAATTTGTTAACTGGTTCACTTACCAACTTGAACATTTTGAAGAGTTTTTGTTTTAGCTGAACGACTGGAGAAATCGAACTGATACCGATTGCTATTTTGTGTCGTCTTTTATACTTTGAATTATCTGATGTAGTGACGTACGATTAGTAATGGTGTGCTTTTCTGATGTCTCATCTGAAAAAGTTCAAGGAAGTAGACCATCTATTCAATGAGCGGTTGATTATATGATTTAAATGGCCACCCGTTTGTTATCCCAACGAAAAATGTATGAACATTATAGCGTTCAGCTATACACCACAGTGTAGATAAAATCATTTGAATGGGATTCAAAATCAACTTCAACAACTAGCTTTATTTTAGAGTGGTTAACCATAATAAGGGACATTTCAATTATACATGAAGAATTTATGGGAAGTCGATTGTCTTTGGGCGAACTGAGCAAAATCCTGAAATTGGATTTGACACATACTTATTTGTTGACATCGTCGAACGGCAAATCAGAGCATAAACGACGATTTTTATCGCGGATTTTATGATTTTGATGATGGGTTATATCAACAAGAAATACATGGACATCATAATTTGATAAAGCATGAAATATGCTCGTTTTTCGCTTTTTTTCTATCTTATCGTTTCCTCGATAAGAACTAACATATTGACTCAACTTACTACTTTTTTGTTCTCTCTATTCATTCATCGTGATTTTCAACAGATGTTTTGATTTCAAAGTCACTTTTTATGTTGAGCATTTTTTAACATAGATTTATGCAAAAAAAAATGCATGAAAATATACAAAAACGATGATTCGTATCGATGCTTTCACTACATTTTCTTACATTGGATTTGCATTAAGTGATGAAATAATATGCATTGAATGAAATAGAATCGATCATATTGTGAGTCATAAATGAACTGCGTACATAGTAAAGCAACAAAGCTCATATGATCATATGGCTCAAATCATGTGACGAAAATCTGTGATTTTTCTAATGTTTTCTTCTTGGCGTGCCACAAATGTTAAAAAAACATTCACAAATTATACAGGAGCTAAAGATTTACCATTTTAGAAACGAATTGGGTGATAAATTTGAAGTTCAGCTTCCTTGAATATATTAAGATAAGCGATCAACACAAGACAGCTGTTTATCAACAGTTTCGATATAGAGTATAAAAGACGACACAAAATAGCAATCGGTATCAGTTCGATTTCTTCAGTCGTTCAGCTAAAACAAAAACTCTTCAAAATGTTCAAGTTGGTAAGTGAACCAGTTAACAAATTAGTTACTTTGCAAATAGTTCGAAATATTGAGATTGTACAGTGTGATCGTTTTTCGAGTGTGCGCAATTTCTATGGAGAATTTGACTAAAACTTTTCTTTGGATTAGGTTGCTTTGTTCGCTATCTTCGCCGTGGTCGCCGCCAAACCAGGTCTTCTTGCTAGCGCTCCATTGATCGCTTCGGTTCCAGCCGTCTCATACGCTGCCCCAGCCACCGTTGCTTACGCCACCGCCCCAGGTTAGCTTCCACTCCAACGATTAAAGAATATTCGTGCGTGTTTAGAGTGATTGTAATTGAGTTTTATTCTTATTTTAGTCTTGAAAACCATTGTCGCCGCACCAGCTGTGTCCTATGCCGCTCCAGCTGTCTCATACGCTGCTGCTCCAGGTAACTTACTGCCTTAGGCAATCAAAGAGTATGTCTCCCGGTTCCGACTGATTCTAATTGTACTTTATTTTTCTTACAGTCTTGAGAACTGTTGTCGCTCCTCCAATCTCGTACGCTAGCACATACTCATACCGTGCCCCAGCTATCGCCAGCTACGCCGCCACTCCATTGGCCTACAACTCATGGTAGAAACATCCACTCTCTGATGCAGACTAAAGCTTTATCATTTCAAATCTGACTGAGTTTTCGAACTAATCGCCGCAGATTTTTATTTTGAACACCGCATTCTTTTGATGTGGATCAAATGGTTAAACAACAATAAAAATGAGTACAAACATTGAAAAGAAAAGTCTTTCTCTAACAACCCAATTCGATGTGAATCTTCTTTCCTAAATTCTTAGCTTTCTTCGCATGAGATACATAAAGATGACTGGCTCAAATACACGATACATCTTGGATGGACTGTCTGCAAATTCTTAGATCATATAAAAATGCACTCTTTGTGAATTTCTGTATATGATATGTTCTCATGAAATGATCTCTTCAATCGCTATTTAAATCAAAATATTTTACTCTTTATCTATTGGTGGAACGAAGACGAACACATGTTTGTTAAATTCACGACTATTCCGTTTGGAATCAGTTCGAATTGCAATTCTGCCGGATTCTGGAATCAATGTTGTCAGTATGGATTTCATAGCCGCGATCTTTACGCACCGATATTATTATTATTAATAATTATTATTCGTATTGAAATGAACGATTTGGAAAGTGAATGGTGCGTAAAACATTTGTCAGTCCTAAGCTCGCGTTCTGGGTGAGTTAAAAACAACATCGTTTCCCTAGGCGAAGATTGCATCAAACTGTCATGATACACGGATGCTTTCGATGTTTGTGTATGTATGTGACACTGTGTGCATAAACGACAATGTTCACTTTCAATATGCTAATGACAGCTTCAAGTTTTACCATCTAGAGCGCATCTTGATGTCTTATGTCAAATCTCTCCTATGCATTTAGATACGAACAAAGCGATCTGGCCAGTCCAAACATCCTTTGTATTAGAAAGGGTGTCTCGGAAATTGAAAGATATTTGGTCGTGATTTTAGAAATATTTATATCGACTAAGAGGAGAATAAAAACCTAAATTTTGCTAGGGGAATTTGTCATTCAAAAATTCATGAATTCCGGTGTGTTTTGAGCTACACTACCGTGCAAAAGTTTGGAACCACTAGGTATTTTTAATACAAATTGACCATTTTTGGTGGACTCATTAACATATTTCGGAAACACCTGCACTCTTGATATTTTGTGCATAGTTTCTACAACGTTTCAATAGTAAATCACAGAGGTTTCATCAAAAAATATTCACGTATTTAAAAAATATAGCAATTTGAATTTGATCTGTTTTATCTTCATACAAATTTGATCATTTTTCACACAGTACAAATTCAAATTGCTATATTTTTGAAATTCATGAATATTTTTTGATGAAACCTCTGTGATTTACTATTGAAACGTTGTAGAACCTATACACAAAATATCAAGAGTGCAGGTGTTTCCGAAATATGTTAATGAGTCCACCAAAAATGGTCAATTTGTATGAAAAATACCTAGTGGTTCCAAACTTTTGCACGGTAGTGTATATTCAGAATATCCACTCATATTCATAGATATTTAGTCTTTCTTATTTGACACTCTCAAATTGACAGTTCGGGCGTTCTCATCAGCCGCCATCTTGAATTCGTCGCCATCTTGGAAATTTTATTCAAAATATTCACAACATTCACATATAATCGAAATTTTGACGATGATTCAATGAGAAAAATATCCACAATATTCACAAATATTCACATTTCTCAAGCCTTGAATGAAACCCCTAGAAATTTTGTTTGTAGATATCTATACTGATTTTATTTATTTTTCGGCGAAATAATTATAATTATTCATTTGTCTGTCATATTCGAATACATATATTAGGAAGATTGGGTCAAAATATCGGTCGGCATGTGTGACATCAAAACATCTCAGAAATGATGTGTTTAGATGTGGTAAGCGCTATAGGCAATAGGGTGGAATGCACTGTAAGCTATTGGAGCAGAATATGAGCTGTACACAGGAGCGTGGTAAGCAGTCAAGGCCGGCGCAACGTACGAGGTAGCTACGGCTGGTGCCACATAAGAGGTGTGAGCGATAAAGGTTGGTTTGGCGGCAGCCAAAGCGAAGAGGGCGAACAAAGCAACGATCTAAACCAAAACAACATAAATAATTAGTCAGATACCGAGATGAAATTGTTCGCTAAGTATCGTACAGAACCATGCACATTTACTTGTGGATCGGTTTACTTACCAACTTGAACATTTTGAAGAGTTTGAAGAGTTTTGATTTTAGCTGAATGCTTGAACTGTAGTCAAATAGAACACAATCAGAATACTGATGGTGGTTGAGAAATGTGCAGCGTCTTTTATACTCTGGATCGCCGAAAAACAATGACGTAGAATGCAAAAAATTACTATCGATCTCCGATCTTTATTTTAATTTATTCAAGATTGCTGAATCAGCAGCATCAATATTGAAACGGCTGATTTAATTCTTAAAGCATTCGATAATTGGCGATAGATTTGACAAAAGAACGTTCTAATTTTATTTTCTTTCTCCATTCTTTACTTTCATTTCTGAGAAAAAAAAATACAACAGCTTGCTCTAAATTGTTTTTTTTTCGCCGATTTTATTGCCCCAAAATGGTTATTACGGTGATAAATGATGTTAACTATACTATATTTTTAGGTGAATCCTTTGACTTCGAGTGGAATGTAATAAATTTTAGCATTAAGCAGTTTTGATCCCGAATCCCAGGTAAGATTGGAAATACCGCTTCGTATATCTATACATAGAACGATGCCAAAAAAGAGAAATTGACGAATAAGTGTATGCATAATGGCCACAAAACAGAGACTATCGTAAAATTTATCATTCATCAATAAACAAACTAGAAGCTCTTACCATCATTTTAGCTCTACTTTGATTATAACACGCTGCTGAAATGTTTGACGTCAATAAAAATAGTGTATATAGAAACCGGTAGTATATAGTATTTTTTATGGGGGCCAATGACTCTTCTAGCAGATGGAAGCAACGTTATTCTTTTTGCAGTTTTAAGCGAGCATCTCAGCGGTAATTCAGAAATCGTTGCATATTTCGTGTTGATTTTTTGTGAGAATATCCGGGAATTAGCAGAGATTGCGCAATGCTCAAAGATGGCATCTATATTGCAAAAATATGAACAAAGTATCGCTTCTTTGCAAAAAAAAAGTCGTACAAGTTTGAGCTCATTGATTTGCGACCATGAAGAGATTTGATTTGCAAAATTTTAATGAAATATGATATGAATTTAATCAAAAATAGAAATCATAAATACAAAAACACAATGCTGGGCTGCATATGAAAGTATCTTGAAATGGAAATCAAGTATTTTTATCAATTTTTGCACTGCGTTGAGGATCTAACATTGACTTGGAGTTCGAGGAAGAGATCATTTATATTTCAATTTATTAAAATCTATAAACGTACAAAAACTTGAGTTCGATTACGATCTCTTTTTTGATTTGTATGGCGTACGACATTTTTTTTCGCATGTTTTTATCAATTTTGCAATGAACCAGAGTTGCAAAATATGCTTCAGGCTTATAAATAGTTCGTTTCATTTCTTTCAAAACATAATTCATTTTGAATATCGAAATTGATAAAAAAAACTGGTTTAACATTGAAATCAAGCAGAACAGGCGATGGTGTTGGTCATGATTATTACCTACGCGATCACTTTACATCTCAAATTGATAAATGTAGCAGACGAATTACCATTTATTTCATGATTGCTTCAGACAATCAGTAAAACGAAAAAAGCTTCACTTGTATCTTTTTGGATTGCCATTCAAAGAGAGAAATTAATAAGAACTTTTGCTATATTTAGAAATTGGAATTGAATGAAAAGGATTCTTGATTTTTTTGTAAGATTTGTACTAATTTTTATTTTTTCGATGAAATGTTTTTATGATGATACATTTTTTTTGTCACATTCAGATGGATGTGGTTTTTAATTTTGCAAAATCAAAAAAGAATTAATTCTGACAATAATGATGTTGATCAAAATTCAGTCAAAAACGAACGGATTTGTTGTGTGTAAACGTTGAAACCAAAAGTATTTGATGTTTTTTTTTTCCTGTTCTCGATGTAAGCGTGCATCTAGATGTCCTTGACGCGGTGTCGATCATTTCAAAGGTGTTGTTTACCAGGAGCTGTATGCATAAGGAGCGCTGTAAGCGCTGTATGCGTATGGCGAGCTGTATGAATTGTACGAGCTATAGGCCAGTGGAGAAGAATAGGCCGAATATGCGTAGGGTGCCGAGTATGTTGCAGCATACGATGCATATGGGCTAGCATATGGGGCAGCTACAATTCGTGAAACTTTATTTAAAAAAAACAGATAAAAAATGTACACCAATTCAATTAGAATCGATTGAAACACTTTGAGTCCATTTGAAAGAAGAAAAAATGAGGCTTTTTTGCGATCGAATGCTTACCTGGAGCAGCCACAACTGGTGAAGCGACCAATGGAGCACTAATAAGGCCTGGTTTGGCAGCAGCCAAAGCGAAAAGGGCGAACAAAGCAATCTAAACCGAATGAACAAAATAAAGTAGTTAGTAAGAACAATGATCATCATCACCACCCTATTGAAATTGTGCGCACAGAAAAACTGATCAAATTGTACAATTTCAAAGTACTTAAAAAGAACGAACAACTAGAAAATCTACTTGATAAAATTCGAAATGCACTTACCAATTTGAACATTTTGAAGGGTTTAGTGTTTTAGCTGGTTGCTACGACTGTAATAATCGAACTCAATCAGAAAACTGATACAATTTGCTATTCTGCAGCGTCTTTTATACCCATTCTGGATGATCTAAAACAAAGGGCCCTCCATATAATGCAAGTAAGAAGAAGAGAAAAAAAAAACGGCACAGCCTACAAGCGCATACCTTTGAATTCTTATCTAAATAAAGTTCAAGGAAGTGATCGACATTAAAAAGAATAAAACAAAACACAAAAAAAATGTATGTTCAAGAGACGCGCGCACACGGCTTTGTTATAATGCTTCATGTACAGTCGTTTTGTTCTTTCGCTTGATTGCCTGCACACTCGCTAGCTAGCCTGCTTGCCCGTCATTTCATTATGCGGTCAAATTTCACAGTATGTGTAATAAATTATATGCGATCGATTGAAATAGTACCATTGCGAGCGCGCGTGCGTGCGCGCGCACCACCGAACAACATACACAATACATCAGACTGGTTCATCAATTTAACAAGGAAGAAACCGCTTTAATTAAACTATATATACGTATATATAAATGTCCATATCCAGAGAGATCTATCCCATCTCATATCATATGCGTAAATTGATACGAACCAAGATCGCGTTCTTATGGTCATACTTTGGCCAAAGCATACCATTATATGCGATCGCAAATGGCATCGCATCGCAAATGTACATCGTGTTAACCATTGCGTGCCATTAATGGGCCCGACTTGAAGCGAATTTTCAATTTAATATGGAGCAACATTAATGCGATTTTACGAATTTAACCAAACCGGTATTTGAAGATTACACGTCGCAATTACACACGCAAATGTGATGATGTGGTGACGACACAACGACTCAATAAAAAAAAATGTCAATAAAAACCAGAGAAAGAAGCAAGCAAGACAGAAAAAAAGCAACGCAAACCGATTTAAAGAGAAGAAAACGGGCAAATAATTTTGAAAATACGCAACGCGCGTACCATGAAGACATCGAAAGTGATTGAAAAAAATTGTTTATTTTCACCCGAATTTTTACGTCTGTTTGTTTCGTATGCGAATTTTGGCGGATCATTTTACGATTTCATATGTTTTACCCGGTCTTTTTGTTTGGCAAGTCGCATGAATGCAAAGTTGATGGTCTTTCAAGTTATTACCGTCGTTGCTGTCGTTGTCGTGTGTCAACAGGCGAGTTGAAAGCAAATTTTTATGGGGCGATTTCAGGCTATTCATTTTGTTACATTTTTTTTCGGCACCGAAGTCGGCCGCAACATGAAACACACAACGACAAAAGAAAAAAAAATTCGAGCAAAAAACCAGTAGTGAAACAAAGAATTCGCGCAATTGTCAGGCGCGCATAAGAGCAAAAGTGTGTTTAAAAATATTCGATATAATCTCTAGTAATGTAATAACTCGCCGTAAAATGCGATACTTTTTTTTGTTACTTTGTTGTTGTTTGTTTTTGGATTCATTGCAAAGAGCAATGTGTTTCTTACTGCGAGCTCTGAAATTGCAAACTTTTGAATCAGTGGCTTTTCTGTTACACTTATCGTACTATTTTTAATCGCTCGTTTGTGGGATTTTTATTGTGCTTTCGTTTAAGCATATTTTTGGCTACTGTTCGCTGGCTACCATTTATTAATTTGCAGCATTTTTTATTCGTTGCTTCTTCTTCCTCTGTTTTTTTTTTTCACAGAGAACAAAAAAAAAGCGAAATAAAAAGCAAACAAATGAGAAGAAAAAGATCTTTTAGTCAGTAGAAAGAATTCATAGCAAACGAAGAAAAAAAAAAGTTTTACACGTGTGGTGATCTTGAAAATTGGTCGATTAGTTGTAATTTCCTCTAAAACAATGCATAAAATGAGCGAAGAGAGCAAAAACCGTTTTGCTTTCAATTTACAGACAGTGGTTCAATTCGGTCAACGGTTACGACGTTGTTTGATGTTTGCATGCATTCCAACGTCAATTAAAATTGGCCGACATCGTTGGCGATAACATAAATTTATTCATTTTTAATGAATAAACGCGTGAGCTCAATTATGCAATTAAAAAATATTAAAGCACACACATCGTGCATGTATAGGTATGTTATGAGTGGTGCGGTCGATTTTATTGAATCCATTCATTACCATGCTTATACCGTGTTATCGTTATCATTTTATCGGAATTTTGTTTACGTGTCTCCGCAAATTTGCATTTGCATCATCATCACCATCGCTGTCGTCATGGTTGAACGAATTTGAGCAAAATCAGCTCCATACCGATTTTGTTACATATGGATATGCTTGTCTGAATTTGCAACACAACTAATTGAACAGATTGATGATGCTCTCTGTCTACACCCGAACAAAACTCACCACTTGGCGCTAGGAATCAATCAAATTAGAGGCCATCATAAGCGTCACTAATTACATTTTCGATATCAGATCAAATGGTAATCGAAAGCGATGGACTGATTTTATCTTGCTCATTTAGATGGGATCCTGTTCCATTTGCGTCGTAAGTCACATGATTGTTGCTCATATATATCGTACTATCAATATATGCTTGCATCGATTTGATTGGATGACAAATACACACAGGGATCCTATCCATTATCCACGTGATTAAAACTTTTTTTTAAAATTCGAATGATTTTTCTATTTGGAAATTTAAGATAAGAATAAATAACATGTATGACATATATGTCAAAATGATCATTTCCTTCACCACAAAAGGAGCTTGTCAATCACACACACAGTGCAAAACATGCGGCGTTTAAATTGGTGGCCCGGTGACAGATGATTACCATGTATCCACTCTACATGCTGTCAGTGTCGTGTTATTTTGGCATCAATTTACAAATTAACCAGTTTAATCATCGACAAATTGGCTGCACCGCGCCATGCGATTAAATTTAGACAAATCACAACTGGCGCATGCAATATTACACGCGTATGAGATAGTGATTGAATGGAATAATTTAAAAACCCAACATGTGATTCGTGAGAGGACGCAAATCAAAATGCCGAAAATAAAAACAATTGCATTTCGTGTAATTCATTGTAAGTCGCCATTGCCCATGATCTTATTTGATGGCGCACAATCTGAGTGACTTTATTTATTGTTTACACACGCATGGGGCCGAAGTCTTTTTTCAAGAAGGTTTTTTTCGCGTTGTCGCTTCGTGTTTCGCGCATTTCATGGTTTATCTCAGATTTTTGCATTGGCATTTCAGGCCTCCGAAATTGGATCAACGTGCGCGCATTGTGCGTCTTATCACTAAAATGGAGTTTTGTGTTTCAATTTATCAATCACCTGTTTGTTAGCGTGGTTTCTTTTCTTTTTTGGAACAAAATGTGGAACAACTCATTTCCATTCATTGGTCGAAATTAAAATGCACAACAAAAGAAAGGAACATGTGTTTCGTCACCTTCGATTATTCATTTCTCTACGATATATTATAGAAAAACTATGCTATAGACAAATCAAATGGTTGATCTTTGCATCAGACACAACGCTTTTCTGCAAATCTTAACAGTTTTGGTATTGAATAAATGGCACGGCGAAAGAAACTGTATCGTTCAGTGAATTCGGGCCCATAATGTGCGGTGCAGGAAGTTGAATATTGCCTTTCACTCGAATGTGCATTCATGAAAATCTCCAATTGCCCATTGAAATCGTTTTTTTTTACATTTCGCTCATTCGGTTTTGTGTGTCATTGTTGAATTTTGGTTTGGCTTTTCTTTCGGGCCGCATATGCATGGCGTAGTCGATCGATTGGTTGGGCCAAGTGAGCGAACGAATCATCGTCATTGATTACGTGCATTATTTCCCATTTATTTAATGTAATTTTCATTCGTTTCTTTGATCAACAAGATTAATGACAGACAAATAAATACAAATTCGTTTGGATTGTACGTAGTATTATGTCTTTTGTGTTGTTGGTTTTTTTTTCGTTGCTCTCGCTCGAATAAAGGGCATATATATTACGGCATAGATAGTGCGAGTGAATGTTCTGACTCAATTGGCATGGAAATGAGCAGTCATGTCTCGGTTGGCCATTGCTGCTGCTGTTGATATCACGGCAAAAAAAAAATTACGCCATTGACCAAGACCTATATTCGGCGCGTCTTGCACGATATATTGCAAATTGCAATTGCACATTTTTAAAAAGCACAACTGTCTTGTGTGAAAAAAACGTTCTATTTGATTGCGTCAAGACACTCATCGTGCATTGTTAAATCACATGATCAGGGTTCTATGCGCCGACATCGACAATGACGATGGCGACGACGGCAACGATGACCATTACCATTTCAATATCATTTACGTTGACTCAGCGGCCCATTCGCTTTAAATGGTCAACCTTTGAGGAAATTCTTTTAATAAATATATGGGCATAAAAATTTCAACAAAGTCGTCGAATTTTAATTTTGTGTAAATATGAAAATTTTAGGCTCGAATCTAAACAAAGGAATTTCGTTAATTGTTTTTCATTTGATGTAGTGCGTTAACTTCCCGCTCAAAGAGGAACTTCCATTTTCGTTGGTTGTGTATTTGAATGGGAAAATGTGCCGTTTTCCGAAAGAGATATAATTGAAAAAACTTTTCTGCGCAATTTTTTATCCGTTCATTTATTTGGCTCCACATTTTATGTGTATCTTGGTTAAGGTTAATGTTTTTCCGCATTACCTTTTTACATGGTGTTGTTGTTGATGTTATTGTTGTTTATTTTATTTGATTTTTTTCTTGGCTCAACTTCTTTTCATCTGAAACAATATGCTCACACGGTAGCCCAAATAAACAAGATAAATTTGCCGCCAAACACACCGAAGGAAAAGATATTTCTTTGTACATTTTCAGCGTTTTTGAGCCAGTTAGATGTATCTGCTGTCATTGTGAAGAGTATTTCACATATTAATTATATTTGGATGAAATATTGACGTGAATGAAAAAGGCCAGCCAGACAGACGCCGAGAGAGAGAGAGAGAGACAACGCTAACAATCAGAGAAAGAAAACAAAAGCCATCGTCATGAATAAGACATCAAAAAATTAATATCGGTTGTTTGCGTAACAGTTTCTGTTTGTTTTTTCTTCTGATTTTTTCTTGAATTTTCAAATGCGAAACACGCACAG